AGGCTGGCTCGTTGAGATTCTGAGTGCGAATGTAGACCACAGCACTCATAGCTACTGTTGAGGCATCTGCGAATCCGTGTAATTGGATGTCGTTTGTCTGAGGTGAGATTCTGAGCCATCTGGGTACTGCAACTTTATCTAGTTCGGTGAGTTCCTGGCGAAATGACTCCCACCGGTGAATGTACTCTTCGGAGAGGGGGTCATCCCAACTGCATTTGAGTTTTCAGAGATCCTGAAAGAGAATTTTCCCCTGGACGACGACTGGAGCGATAAATCCCAAAGGATCGAAGATCTGGGCTATCTCTGAAGAGACAATTCTTTTGGTGATCGTCTCTGTGTTGAAGTCTCTGGATTTGTACTGGAATGTGTCAAACGACTGATGTCAACACAGACCCAGTACCTTGGTGACGGACTCTTCAAACTGAATGACTTCTTCCTCTGTTGATAGGCCGAGCTCATGCAAGAGCTGAGGGCAATTACTGCTCCATTTCTGNATCCTCTCTTCTGCAGGTCTGTTGGCAGTTCCAGAGAACCCTGCAGCTTCCGAGTCACGACGTGGAGGAGCCCATCCTGTGTACCTGCTGCCTCCGTGGATCAGAGTGTGGTGAGATCCTTTGCACTTGTGGCATTGTTCGTCTGAGCTGCACCTATCTTTTTTGTGCGTGCCCAGGCACCTGAAGCATAGTTTCTTATCGATGGCCGGGCCGTTTCTTTTTACTGGGTCCAGCTCCTTGAATTGCTGATNTCATCCATGTTAGAACGTCCATGGCGTTGGTCTGAAGTTTTCCACCTGGATGTAGAATGTCGTTGAGTGACGTTCCTGATGAAGTGGGGCTGGAGCCGTTGAAGACGACTCTCAACCTTGTGCTGATTGCATCTGCTCTCAGAACCCCGTAGTGTGGAAGATAATAAACTGGAACGGGTTCTGTTGTCTCTGGTGCTCTTTGCATGTGACCCAAAGTTTCGTACTCGTTGATGAANGAGAGTCTCTGCGTCCAAGGACTTCCTCAGGAGGTGAGCGAACAGCTGTTCTGTTAGGTTCGCTTCTGAAAGGCCGGCCACTGTTCTGACCTGGTCCAGCGACTCGACCACTGCTGCCACGTTGTCGGTGCGATTCTGTTCCGTGGGTTTGGTGATTTTTGGCAACTCCAGGACTCGATTAAATAAGTACTGTGCCAAAAGTCTGGGATCATCATACTTCTTTTGGAGCTTTCTCCATGCGTTCTCATAATTCTGATCGCTGATGGGTATCGTAGAGGTCAGAACTGCTGTTGGTCCTCTGAGGCTGCTCTTCAGCTTCACCAATTTGTCCACTGGGGGAATTGAAGATTTGCTGCCCACCAGTGAAGTGAAGAGGTCACTGAACTCCTTCTACTGTGAAGGATTGCCATCAAAAGGCTTGATGTCCAGTCTCTTCAGCTGATCGTGGTGTTGAGGACTCGATGGTGTACTGGGTGACTGAGCTTTCTTAGCTAGTTGACCTCTCAACCTGCTGATGAGCCTGACGCATTGCTTCCTGGTGGTGGCTGCCTGCTCGAATACCCCGTTCGCGAGATACGGGTGATCGTGTGGAATGGACTCGATCAGGCTC